GGGGGGGGGGGGAAAGGCAAGGGGAGGGGGTCCTTCCACCTCTCCCCCTCCCATCCAAAATTATAACTTAAAATATACAAAAACCTGACATTTTAAAGGTTTTTTAATCTTTGCCTGCCTGACAAAGGACATTAGGCTAAAATAGAGGACATGTCCTCCTTTTGCCTCACGTCTGGCAACCCTACCCCTGCACTACGGCTATTTTGTGTTACAAAGTGATGCCTCCGGATCCAGAGCTATGCACGATCTGATGTTAATTGACCCACAGCTGTGTCCAAAGCATTGTTCATGTCTGTAGGACAAACATCATCCTTTACGAAAGCAACAGGCTGGAAGTGGGGCTATTGAAGGTGGGCCTCATTCACCAGTTAGACCAAGAACAAAGGGAGCAGATAAGCACAGAATGTGAGCCCGGCGTTATGCAAAGCGTGTTACTTATTTGGACTACCGCTCCCAAAATCCCACATCTAGCCGAGTCATTGGCTGTACATGACTGGGGTTTCTGGGATTTTTATTCCCAAAAATAAAGTTTCCACACATCTGCTCTATGTCATGAAACCAGAACTTGGAGAAGCATATTTTTTGTTTGTTTGCTCGTTTGTTTTTGTTTGCTCGTATGTTGTGGCATAACATGAACGAGTAGACATGGACTAAAGGGGCGGGGTAAAAAAGATTTAAATCACAATTTAAATTTAAAAACTTGATTTTTTGACAATTTAAATTAAAATCAATTTTTAAAATTTAAATTGTAATTGAAATTGATTTTCTTTTTTTTAAAAAAAGCATTGATTTTTATCTACTCTGCATCCTATGCACAACTTGAGTGGTACTTCACAAGAGGTGGGAGGCTTGACTGGAACTTAGCCGCCCTGAGTAGACATGGTCTAGAGGGGCGGGGCAAAAATCAAATCAAATAAATAAATAAATAAATAAATAAATAAATGAACAATCCCTTACCCATTTCTGGCAAACGCGGACCAGTACTGCATCACCCTGTGGCTCAGCACCTCCTCAGCCTCTGTGACAGTTTGGTTCGTCGGCAAAGCTGATGCAAAGCTTCCAAACAAGTAAGGTATCTCAGCGCCATAGGGCATCCCTACCCATTCAGGCCAGATGGAGCTAGAGGTGCGATGATCGAAGGAATAAACATACGCTGGTCTCCCAGCTTCTCTGATCTTTGCAGCAAATTCATCCAATGCACACACAAAGAAGTAATCTCTCATATATTGGGCAAATGCCAAACGGTACCGCTCTGGTCCGTGAAAACCTTCGCTGAACTTCGACGCTAGCGTCTTGGCAACGGCTTCGTCGGTTCCTCTTTTCATCGTCCCCATCACTCCTTGAAGGAACTGCTTCCAGGTCAAAATCCCACCGTTTGTCTTGGTGTCAGAATACATGAGCATCACGAAGGTAGATCCTTCATCAGCTGTGATGCCAGTGAGAACAGATTTGCCACGAAAACTGGCCGTCTCCAAAAGCTTCCGGGGCTCATCTGGAAGGAACTCTCCATCTGTTGTCAACGAGTTGACAGTAGCGAGATGAGAAAATTCCTTGCCACCAATCTCTATACCTTGTAAGCAGCTCACTACAGCACTGTGGCTATGGTTAGCACACCCCACTGAGCTGCTGACGGACACCGTTTCCAGTCTGGCCTCTTCAGGGCTTTTCCAAGGCCAGAGAGCATTGGGAACGCCGCTCTGAAGCACAGCATGAGAAAAAAGAGGTTGGCTTATTGGTGAGAGCAGGTGGAATCCCACCATGGCTGCCCCAGCACTGTGGCCAAGGAGAGTCAGTTGAGCTGGGTTTCCACCAAAGACCTCTGCATTGTCTCTTATCCATTTCAGAGCAAGATGTTGGTCCCATAAGCCAATATTTCCTGGAGCGTAGGGTGGCAGATATAGAAAGCCCAGAGCTCCTAGGCGGTAATTCATGGAGGCCACAATCACTTTCTCTCTAGCAGCTAAGAGTGCTCCATTGTAGATATCCAGCGAGGCTGTGCCAGTGATAAAACCCATCCCTTGGATCCATACAAGGATAGGCAGTGGGGTGGAAGGCCGTGGGCGAGGCACCCAGATGTTGAGGAAGAGACAGTCCTCTGAGAATGGTGTATTGGCAACCCATATGTCTGCATCAGGGAAGCCAGAAACATTTGTCTGGGGACAAGAGTTGCCAAAACTGGTGGCCTCCAAGATGTGGCTCCATGGCTGATGAGGGAGGGGCTTCTGGAAACGCAGTTTCCCCAGTGGGGGCTCAGCATAGGGGATGCCTAGATAGGCCGTCACAGAGCCTGATCCTGCTGGGACCTGTTTGCCTTTGACAGGGCCGGTGCTGGTGACGACCACTGTGTCCTCCTCAGAGGCGGAGATGGAAGTCAGTGAGAGAAAGCAGGAAAGATGGAAGAATAAAGGGATGAGATGAAACATGGTTGCCACAACTGGGGGGAAAAAATCAGAAATAGTTAAAAGTGAAGAAGAATATTTCATAGGCTGGCTGGAATCTTATTGGTCTTTGCATCGGGTTTTTGGTAACTTGCCATGGCTAACTGCAGCTAATTCACAAAATATCAGTTGTTTAAGCAGGTGCAGGACCAGACATGCAACCAGGATGCATCCCAACAGCTTGTCAATTAGCCACAATTAGGCACAGGTAGTTTCACAAACCTGAAGTGAGCACCAGTAGGAGTCTAACCATTGTCTGTCTCATTTAGGTCTGTCTCATTGTTAGGTTGCTTCCAACTTATAACAACTTTAATCACATTGTTAAGATACTGTATGTGCAGTATTTATAGTTTAACTTTGGTAACCCAATTGGATTTTCACAGCCACCTGAGAATTTGAATCCAGATCTCCTGATTTCTAGTCTGACATTCTATCTGCCACACCATTGTGGCTCTCTATTAGAATGTCTGGTACTGGAGGAGGTTCTGCTAGTCTGACATTCTATCTGCTACACCATTGTGGCTATTAGAATGTCTGGTACTGGAGGAGGCTCTGGAGAGTCCCGTGGACTGCAAGGAGAACAAACCTATCCATTCTGAAGGAAATCAACCCTGAGTGCTCACTGGAAGGACAGATCCTGAAGCTGAGGCTCCAATTCTTTGGCCAGCTTATGAGAAGAGAAGACTCCCTGGAAAAGACCCTGATGTTGGGAAACTGTGAGGGCAAGAGGAGAAGGGGACGACAGAGGACGAGATGGTTGTACAGTGTCATTGAAGCTGTCAACATGAATTTGACCCAGCTCCGGGAGGCAGTGGAAGACAGGAGGGCCTGGCGTGCTCTGGTCCGTGGGGTCATGAAGAGTCGGACGTGATTTAATGACTAAATAACAACAAAAATCTCACGATGTTGGGAAACTGTGAGGGCAAGAGGAGAAGGGGACGACAGAGGACGAGATGGTTGTACAGTGTCATTGAAGCTGTCAACATGAATTTGACCCAGCTCCGGGAGGCAGTGGAAGACAGGAGGGCCTGGCGTGCTCTGGTCCGTGGGGTCATGAAGAGTCGGACGTGATTTAATGACTAAATAACAACAAAAATCTCACCTAGCTATAACACAACTTAACGACTAAATAACAACAAAAGTCTCAGCTAGCTATAAAGTGTCAGAAAGAGAAAGCCTATTTTGTTTCTTTGCTTTCCCAAGAATTATCTGATGCCTAAGACACTAGACATTATCCTGTGTTGGGCAACAGAATTAGTCTAGAAATCTTCATCATCTTAGAACTGCAACGCTGGAAAGGACCCCATAGATTCAGCCCCTGTTAAGGAGGCACAGAGGGGAATTAAGCTCCCAACCTCTAGCTCTCCAGCCAGATGCCTAAAATTTGTGAGAGAACCTGTGGATCCCTTCTGATGCCTCATGACAGGATCTTATTAATGTCAATCACCCAGTTTACAGATTTTGTGTGACCAAATGCTATGAGTATCAAGAGAGGCCCTGTTATGTTGGAAGTGACTAGATGCAACTCAGGTAAGAGAGGGAAGCCCCCCCCAGGTTTCCTATTTATTTATTTATTTATTTATTTGTTTGTTTGTTTGTTTGTTTGTTTGTTTGTTTGTTTGTTTGTTTGTTTGTTTGTTTGTTTGTTTAATATCCTGCCTATCTAGTCACTTAAGACCACTCTAGGCGGCTTACAACAGGCGTGATACAATATAATTAAAACAATTTTTAAAAGGGGACAAACTTTGGACAAGATGGAACAGACACTAGGAGAGAGGAAAAAAGAGGGAAAATCAGGAATTGGTTGAGGGGAAGGCCTGCCGAAACATCAGTTATTTTATTTATTTTATCTTGTTTTTCACATGCTCAGCATGAGCTGAACTTCCTTTAACCAGCACTGAGGGCATTTTTCAAATAAACACTAGTTTTCCCCTCCCCCTAGAATAAGAAGTGTGGATGTGATTTATTTCCAAAGCTGTGGGGGCATGTGCTATGTAAATTATTCTGATATTCAAGGGCTGACTCTGTAAGTTAACTTAGCTACTCCTTGTTCTGGTAACAGCCACCATTGTCTGCAGTTAGTTTGTTTAGACTAGTTGTTGTTTAGTCGTTTAGTCGTGTCCAACTTTTCGTGACCCCATGGACCAGAGCATGCCAGGCCTTCCTATCTTCCACTGCCTCCCAGGAGTTGGGTCAAATTCATGTTGGTGGCTTCGGTGACACTGTCCAGCCATCTCATCCTCACATTTAGACTAGAGCATTACCTATATTCTAGAATCCGTGCTTGGAAAAATTACTTGTCTGAGCTGAAACTCCCAGAAATTCTTCAGCTATCATGAGCAGAACTCAAAAAGCCACTTTTCTAGGCTCTGTCTGAAACTATCAAGCAAGTCCTGCCTTAGAATCGTAGAACTGCAGAGCTGGAAGAGACCTTATGGATCATAGAGTCCAGCCCTTTCCAAAGAGGCACAGTGAGGGTTTGAACTCTTAAAGATGCCTCAACCACCAAGCTATCCAGATAGGTCATTTGTAATCAGTTCCCACAACAGAACAAAGAAAGACCTTCCTTTCTAGAAAGTACAACTGTATCAATGTAGGCACCTAAATTGACCGTTCCATTTCTTGGGGTAAGTTTTAGATAGGCTTCCATATTGTCTCTTGGTGTTTCTTTATTTCAGTTTAATGGCCCCACACTTTGTTAGCAGCCAGCAGGTTGCTTTCCTTTGCTTTCTTGGCATTTTTTTTAAATGCTGTCTTTTCTTCCCAGGCTGCTAAGATATTTTCCATTCCCCCCCTCCCCAAAAAATATGCTATGTCTCACAACATATAAGTTTATTTTACTGTGTAAAAAGGAAAAGAGGGGGAAAGATTGCTGCCATGTCAGAAAAATACTTTTCAGCTGTGCATATGGGAAAGCTTCTAGCTCCTCATTTTCTCCCCTTCAGATTTTGGGGTGTCTTCCCACCCGGTCCTTCACACCCCAATTCTTTCCTCCCCCACCCTCTGCCTTTTGAACAACCGTTTACTTTCTGGAACTCAGTTACTATGACATTGTTCTTAACTCTCCCTGTGTACACTATCAAGCCTTGCAATGCATTCTGATTCCTTGTGACACTTCATGTAAGTGATGAAATAGGTCTTTACCTACGAAAGCTCGGAGCACAATACAGTAAATCCTTTGTTATCCCTCTAAGTAACGAAGGGCTCTTTGCTGTTCTTCCTGTTAATTTTGGCTTCTCAAAGTAACAGGAACAGATCCTTTGACATTTTCAAGGATGCCAACATCCTTGGTGAGGTACAGAGTTGGTATCCTCCTTATCACAGCAAAGATGTCAGCAGGCTGAAAATGTCAGAGGATCAGTTCCATTACCTTGAAAAGCCAACACAGGTTACTCACCTTGGAATCTTCACATGAATGTATTTATTTTATTATTATTTATTTGATTTATACCCTGCCCATCTGGTCTATACAACCACTCTAGGCGGCTAGAACAACTTGCCAGATGGACAATTTTTGCCCAAGTTTTGTGACCATGTATAAATATTTGCCATGTAGTGCCTCTCTTATTACCGAGGAAGTAGACTGGTCCATAAAGGCTCACATTAAGATACTGTACAACACTTGAAGCTGTGTTTTGTCTTCTTTTTTGTTTGTTTGTTTTTGCCTGATATTCGAACACAGACTAATATAATGGCTATTGCTTCTAAAACGTCTAGCAAGCAAGTTGTGCTCATTTGATAACCTGGGCTGTGCCTTAGGCCAGCTCCTTGTTTTCTCTTTTTTGAAAAACTTGAATCCTGGGCGCCTGCTAGTACACTAGTACACTTAATGCTACATCTCCGTGTTAGCCTAATACCGCATGTATACCATTAGTAGAGATCCTTTCAGAGACCCTGGGGGATTCTGGGAGTTGTAGTCCAAAAAAGTAACTTTTCTAACAGTAGGACTCTACCTTGATGTGTTATATCCAAGGAACACACACACACACGCACACGCACACGCACGGGCGCACGCGCACACACACACACACACACACACACACACACACACACACACACACACACACACCTTGCCGAATCTTGGCAAACTTGGCCAAGCTATGCTTTAGCCATTCCATTTCTTTGTCATCTCTTTTTCAAACACACTAGACAACCACCGCTTGTGCCAGCTGGCCAGAAAGCATTGTCGTTGTTGTTGTGTGCTATCAAATTGCCTGCAACCTCTAGCAACCCTCTGAATGAGTGACCTCCCAAAGGTCCTTATCATTAACAGCTCTGTTCAGCTCCTGCAAACTCAAGGCTGTGCATTCTTGTCAATTCATCTTGCATTTGGTCTTCCTCTTCTCCTGCTGTGTTCAACTTTTCCTGGCATTTTTGTCTTTTCCACTGAAATGTTTATACAGTATAAAAATGCATGCTTACATGTACATGTCAGACGAAACCACAGAGCTAGAAATCTGGGTTCTTAATTTAGTCTTATGCAGCTCTCTTCCTGTTTGCAAAAAAAAAACAATTCTCTCATTTTCACCCATTTCTATTCTCCCCCCCCCTTTTTTTCCCTGTTGTTTTGGAATGTTTGAGAACATTCATGCCTGACACCTACAACCTTTCTGTGTTATTATGGACTCACCTCCTTTCTCCCACATGTGGTTTTATAGCTCCTCGGTGTCCCTTTGCTCCTCAGATGTAATCGCTGGAGTGGGTGTTGAGAAGTGAAACAGTTACAAATAACACCCAGGGAGAGATCAGGATATACAGGAAAGTCAGTGACCACACAGGATATAGTCACATGTGACTGGAGATCACGCCTTTGCAAGATATGGATATAAGCCAAGGATCGAAGAGACATTGTGTACATGGACAAATGCTGTACTTCAGAAGGGAACACAGTCTAACCACCCCTGATTACAGGCAAAGGCTGGAAGGACAGGAGAAAGCAATGCAGAGGCTGGACAGTCACATAGATGTGAACACTAAATGCAAATATTTGGAAGGCAGTTTATTGGCTACCTGGTCATGTAGCAGAACCAAACCAAGTAAGGTTTTCCCTCTTTTGGGATGTTTGCAGGATCCTTTCCCATACCTTGGAAATGGTATTCAAGTTGGCATACATCAGAAGTGACTTGACAACACAAAGCGACCCAACAAATTGTATTCATTTATTCTTTCAGTATTGTATACTCAGTGTTACTCACTGTCTTTCAGTTGTGGTAAGCCACCATGAGTCCTTTTTACGGAGAAAGGCAGGCTAAAAACAGCTTAAATAAATAAAAGGAAAGTAGTATCCTTTTTGGACTTGATAAATTGACACACATTCCTAGATGCTCCCTTTCTACTGAGGGCCTGCTTTGCCTGGCCCTAGAATTACAAGCCGCCCTTTCTTTTCCTTTTTTTCCCTTGTCTTTTCTTTTCAAAATGCCATTAGGTTTCTCTTCCTTTGCAGTCATTGTGCTTCTCACCCCAAGACCCCTCTTCCCCCTCCTTCTTCCCTGACATCAGGAGAAAAGAGAAGGTTACCAGGCATCCTAGAAGCTTTTTTAAAAGAAGGGGGGGGGAACAGCTCTCAAGAGATGGTGAGGAGAAAATAAAATATAGTCCCAACAGTTTCAAGTGTAAATAAGAAAGGTGAAGAGAAAGAGGACCTCTTTTTTTAAAAAAAAAAAACCAAACAGCCTCGCTTGATGAGGAGGCCGTCAGAAAGAAGAGGTGGTCATGGAGGTGATCTTGGGGCCCCTTTCAGTTACTCTAAGTTCAACAAGCAGTTAAACAAGTATTTCAGCACAAACCCTTACACAATCAGATGCTTGTAAATCTGCTTGGCTCTGTTATCCATTATTACTTATCTCTCTCTATGATTAAGGGTGCAAGTAAACAGGGCAGCTGTCCTGGTTTGGATTGGGTTCACCTGAGCCGAGGGGGGGCTGTTCAGAACAGCAATTACATTGATTTTCCCGCTCACACAGAAATGTTCCCCTATCCCAAGTAGTTTTGAGACAAGAGATCACACACGCCTCAGACCGCTGCCCCTCACACACTCTTCTGTCATTGGGGACCCCTCTCTTCCCTGTCCTTCCTTTCATCCCCATAACAGACCCCTCCCCTCACCACAAAGGATCCTTCTCAGGAGAAGACCATCATGTTACTTAGCCCTGCTTTCCTTTTCCTGATGAGGGGGTCCAAGGCTGGCCACAAACATACAAATTCCCACCCATGGATCTCCACCCATATGGAGACCTTCACCCTTCAGGCCACTCCGCCACTGCTTTGGAAGAGGGCGGGAAGAAAGGAAGGAGCCCAGAAAGGACCCACCATCTTGTGAGCAGGGGCTGCTGAGAAGAGGCAAAGAAATCTCTCTGTCCTAAAGACTTGGCCACTCCTGGCCCGGAGAAGGGAAGGCAAACCTGGGTAGAAGGGGGGAGATAGGGGACCTCCAGCAGTGCCTAGATGGGGCTTATCTGACACATCTGATAAAGTATCTTAGTAGGGAGAGGGAAGGGGATGCTTTTTTAAAAAACTATGTTCCGAGCAGCGCTAGCAGCAGAGAAGAGGGCCTGCCCACTGTCCACGGCCAGAGGAAGGGAGGTCACCATGGACCCAGCAGTTGCAAACTGTGTGGATGGAGCTGTCGGGAGAACAACCCGCACATTGCGCCTGGAAGTGGTCTGGGTGGGAGGGGCTTTGGGTGAACGTCAATCAAAGAAAAGAAAAAACATTTTTATTCTTTCTAAACCAGGGTCTCTGACTATTTATATTGAGATTGTATGCCAGTTAAACTAATGTGAGGCAAATCTGACTAAAAACTAACTGCTAATAAGGGGATGTGTATCTGAGAGAGAGTTGTAAATAAAATTACAATAGGACTCCCCATATACAGGGGATCAGTATCCACTGATTCAGTTGTCCGCTGCCTAAAAATACTAAATAAAATAAAAGACAAAGAAATATAGGGAGTATTTACCAGAACTGAGACAGTGTCTAGCCTTGAATACTTCCATGTCGTTGTCATCCACTAAGAGAGCTTTGAACCAATACCTCACAGATACCACCGTCTTAATGTATTGATCAACTCTGTGGGTCTCCATCTGGACTGCGGTGTAGCTGTGGACGTTTTGTTTTTCATTTTGAAACCAGTGTTTCCTCATACTGTCCCCAGCAGGAGCAACAGTTAATCTGCCCAGACCGGAAAAGAGAAAGGGGAACCTTTTGAGCAATTCTGGGCTCACAGGAGAACATTTCTTAAGAATTGGCACCAGCTCTACGTGGCCATCATATCAGAAGGGGTGAGCTTTGCATGGCACCTTTCTGATACCCTGTGACATACCTGTCACTGCAGGTGATGGATCGCACATGGTAGAAACAGAAATGAAACAATGTGACCTTCATCGCTTCCCCCCCAAAAAAACCAGTGGCCTCTACCGGTGAACCAAAAGGGTCCAAATGGCCATTCAAAAAGGAGCCAGGCTGGTTTGCAACTAGCTGTACATCATGTAATCACCAGTAAATGCATTGAACTTCACCATGCCAACAGTGGGACAAAATGGAAGATAAATCACAATTAGGAGGCTGAACCAGAAAAATGGCAGTTCATGAACTTTCCAATTTTTTTTTTAATGAACCACAAACTGGTTTGTTGTGTTTTCTTTTCAAAGTTCATGCTGAGGGAACTAAACCACCCACCCGCTCTCTTTCCACTGCCCCGTCGCCTCCCCATCTTGTGCTATTGCCTCATCCTCTTCTTCCTCTGCTCAACGTTCCCTCTAATTTTGTGGAGTGCTGGGTGGAGTCCTGGCTGTGACCGGAAACAAATGGGTAGCCTTGATCCAGCACCACACAGCCCCATTCCAATGCTGTGCAGCCACACAGCTTAGAGCAGGCTTGTCCAACCCGCGGCCCGAGGGCTGCATGCAGCCCAGGTCAGCTCGTAATGCGGCCCAGTGCAATTTTTTATTTTTAAAGAAATTCCAAAGTTTCAAGTTACACTGCCGGCGCTTGCGGCCAGAATGTGGCCAGGGCATGTCACAACAGTAGAGGGGAAGAGAGGGAAGAAAGGAAGGAGTGGGAGGGGAGGGGACAGGGGGGCTGTGTGACTGCATTGCGCCGTCCCTGTCAATAGGTGGACCCCCTCCCAGCCCCATAAAGCCGCGGGAGTCGAAGCTGGCAGCCTCTGCTGTCTGAGATTGCAGCTGCTGGTAAGCGCACTTGGAGTGGGGCTGCGGAGGACGGCTAGGGCTGCCCCCTTCATGCGGCCCAAACCAAATGTATGTGCGGCCCAAACCAAATTTTCATCTTCTAATGTGGCCCAGGGAAGGTGAAAGGTTGGACACCCTGGCTTAGAGGGAATGATGCCTTTGCCACTGTGTGTGTGCAGTTCCTGCTGTGACCAAAACAAATAAGTGGCCCTGATGCAGCATCACGTGACAGCTGCGGAGGACAGCTAGGGCTGCCCCCCCATGCGGCCCAAACCAAGTGTATGTGTGGCCCAAACCAAATTTTTATCTTCTAATGTGGCCTAGGGAAGGTGAAAGGTTAGACACCCCTGGCTTAGAGGGAATGTTGCCTTTGCCACTGTGTGTGTGCAGTTCCTGCTGTGACCAAAACAAATAAGTGGCCCTGATCAAGCATCACGTGGCTGCACACCTTAGGGGGAACATTGCCTCTTCTACTGCCTCTTCATAGAGCCTGGCTTGGCTTCCTTTCTGGGAGTTGGGCCTTGTGTCTCTGTGCATGGCATGCCTGTCAGCCGACAGGTATGCCCATGAGGAGGGACAGTGGTCTGGGTTCCATGAGCCAGGCCCGCTATCTCTGCACATGCACAGAAAGCACCACCTGGGCTCTTAGAAGGCAGCCCTGCCACCACAGCTCTTACCCTCCCTATACAGGACATTATACAGCTTAAAACTGCATTAGCAATTTCTTATTTCCACATCACACTGTTGACTAACAGTAAGCTTACACTCCCTTAAGCCACTGCAAGCCTTTTCACGCACAGTACTGCCAAACCACTCATTCCTCAGAAAGTCAGCTAGTAGGTTAAAGAAACATGTCCCATCAGTTGACTTCTATACGTTTGCCCAGTTTTCCTGTAGCTACTAGGTATGATGGAATATACTAAAGCATAATATATGGGAACAGTATCACTTTAAATTTTTAAGCATCTGTCAGACGTTTTCCCAATGCTACCATATCTACATACTTAGGTGGACTCTGTTTTTTTTTCTCTATCTAGCTTTCACTTAAAACTTGCCCAGCAATTCTGTCTGCAAATCTATGTGGATGTGGCCTTAAGCCTTGTACAACCCAAATGCACACATGATTGTACAAATACTTTACAGTAGAACCCTCTTATCCGTGGGATCAGTATCCACTGATTCACTTATCCAGTCATATTAAAAATATATGAAAAAAACACCTCAAGATACATTTTTAACAATGAAGCTACCAGAACTGGCCACTACAGGGAGCCAGAGACTATGCTATGTAGAGTGTTCACAAAAGAAACACTGTATATTTCTATGATGTCATTACCATCATTACCAGAACTGACCATGAGAGGGAGCCATATATATATATAACAAGAATTATGCGAAATATATGTATATATACGTGTACACACACACATATACATTACATACATATACAGTGTGTGTGTGTGTGTGTGTGTGTGTGTGTGTGTGTGTGTGTGTGTGTGTGTGTGTGTGTGTGTGTGTGTGTTTGGCATAATCTGTGTTTTTCAGCATGGACAGAGGTGAGGCTTAGAAACAATCCCCCA